CAAGCAAACTGACGGGACCGTGGAGGCTGTGCGACAATTTATAGTAAAAATGTATGTGACAGATAACAGTAAGAAAAAACGGGACGGTGTAAAAGTCAAAAAATTTTTTTTTACTCTTAAAAAAAAATTTTTTTGACTCTTACACCGTCCCGTTTTTTCTTACTGTTAACTTTTTATGAAAAGAGTCCTATATTTCTTGTTACTATTGAGTTTGTACGTGGACTGAAAATATGCGTAATACGATTTTTTCCATTTTTACATTCATAAGAGCAAAATTTGGTGCACTTGCAGTTAACAACTTAAAACTATGGGTTAAACTTCGAATCATTAGACATCATCTGCACATTAGATTTATTAAACTATGTATCAATAAGAAAATCGCTCCGCAACATCTGTACCACATTGGTGATTTAAATATTGTTCTGCACAATAGAGAGTCTTACAGAAGATTGTCACGTTGGAAAGAGGCTAGCATAAGGAGAATTTCACATGTAGAACTTAATGATGCGCATAGAGATACTCAGCATCTTCGATCGAAGTTGTTTCACGTGGTGAGCAGTATGTCCCAATGTCTTCCCATAAGGATTTGTGATGATTTTTTAAATACCCAAGAGAAAAAACTTAATGCTTGGTACGTCAGGAAAAAAAAGAGATTGGATTCTAAACTCACTTGGTTGTTACACAAAAAAGAAAGATTGTTATTGGCAAACATAGCACCAATTCGTTATCAGTGTTGTGACCTTCATGAATCCGATAATGGCCCACATCCTAACGGTCTTAAAATGTGCAATAATAATGATTGTTCCTTTATTGATCCTCGACCTGAGACACATGAATGTCACACCATTATCATTCCAACTGAACTGTTTATGCATCCTCATACATCTTCCCTAACGAATATTAGAGAAAAATGGTTCGTGAATTTATCGTCCATAGAGATTCCTTATGACATCCAATGCTTTTTACAGTTGGGAGAGGGTTTTGCACTGCCTTATAACAAAAAAAGTAACATCGTGCTTGAATGTATTAAAAGCGTGGAGAATAGCACTTTAAGAATGCCTATCAATCGTAAAGTCATGGTTACTAATAACACGATTCCTATTCTGAATGGCATAATTTCTAATCCAATTTTCAGGTCTCCTTCTGACCTAAAATTAAAACAGATGGAGTCATATACCAGCGAGTTCATCTCCACACATCCTAATATTATTTTCACACACGCTGATAAGGGAAACGTAACAGTTGCCAGGGACAAGGATTCATACATTGATAATATGAATATATTATTTAGTGATAGAGATACTTATACACCCGTTAAGAAAAATCCGGTTAGAAGTCTCACCACATCCTTACGTACGCTGCTCACCAGGTGGAAAAAGAAGGAATACATTGATGACTTAGTCTATAGAAAATTATATTGTAGCGACGGAGTATTGCCCAGAGCCTATGGTGTGCCAAAGATACACAAACCACATTGTCTTTTGAGAATTATTGTATCGTCTGTCGGCAGCCCCCTGCATGCGTTGGCGACTTTTTTGTATAGAATATTATTTGAATCAATCCCTCAGACTGGGAGTAATATAAAAAATAGTTTTCAATTGATCGAAAAATTAAAAGACTTACCGATTCATGATAATTATAGTCTAGTCTCTTTTGATGTGGTTTCGTTATTTACTAATGTTCCGTTGAATATTGCACTTGATTGCATCAATGATTTTTGGCATTCTGTGTCACTCCATTGTTCTATGCCTAAGAACGAGTTTTTGATTGCTATGCAGTTGGTTTTTGAGTCAACCTTTTTTGTGTTTGATAACAAAATTTATAAGCAATGTTTTGGCACACCCATGGGCTCTCCTTTGTCTCCCATCATTGCTGATTTAGTGATGAGAAGATTGGAGGGATGGGCGTTGTCGAAAATTAATACTGACCCACTGTTTTACTATAGATATGTCGACGACGTTTGCATGGCAGTGGTTCCGTCTGACATTGACGCATTATTTAAAAAGTTCAACGAATTCCACCCTCGTCTGAAGTTCACTGTAGAAAGGGGTGATGATAGGATTAATTTCTTAGATGTCACAATTTTCATACATAATAACAACTTTGTTTTTGATTGGTACCGTAAACCTACTTTTTCGGGTAGATTTCTGAATTTTCTCTCGAATCATCCACTTTCACAGAAGAGAGGCACGGTGTTTTCGCTTGTTGACAGAGCATTTTTATTGTCTGACTACAAATTCCATTCCAAAAATTTAATTTTTATTATTAATACGTTATTAGATAATGATTATCCGATAACTTTTATTTTTGAGACTGTAAATCAACGAATAAAACATTTATTAAAATCCAAACACGTCACACAACTGACGTCTACTGATATCTCTAATAACAAAGAAACAGTATCTTGGTTGACGGTACCTTTCATTCCCTTTCATACGGAAAAATTTAAAAGATTCAATTGTAATGACATCAGAGTATCTTATCGCAGTCCGAACAAAATGGGCAAGTACATTAAAGTACAGAAAGATGCTTTAAAGAAGAATTGTAAAAGCAATGTAGTGTACAAGATATCTTGCAATGATTGCGACGCGTCGTACGTTGGACAGACTGGTAGGCAGTTAAAAACTCGAATCTCGGAGCATCGAAACCATATCAGACACAAATCAGCGACACGGTCGGTAGTCACGGAGCATAGACTATTCAACAATCACGATTTTCGATGGGATGATGTGAAGATATTGGATGAAGAACCTATCTACAGGAAGAGATTGATTTCTGAAATGGTCAACATTAAGAAACAAACAAATAGTTTGAATTTGCAAACCGATACAGAAGGTCTACATAAAGCGTACTTGCCTATCATAAACAAAATGTGACACTGATACGTGTTTTCGATGTCAGACGTGTGTTGGATTTGACTGTGTGTAGACGTGTTCACAGAAT